CCCGCCCGCTAGAGAACATCTTCTATCTGGTCTCAAAATTATAGTTGCCTGAGTGACACCTCTGGTGAAGCCGGTGGGCAGAATTTGTGTGGGGGAGTGGCAGTCGGTTACATATTGTTGTCTTAGAATCGAGATGAGCGATGTGTATTTTTTTTCTTTTATGTACTTAAAACCTGTATTATCTAACTGCTGAAAACATGTGTTTTCTCTAGTTCTCCAAATGGCTTCTTTTGGGTGGAAGAGAAAGATCGGTGAGAAAGTTTCAAAAGCTACTTCTCAGCAATTTGAGGCAGAAGCTGCAGATGACAAGGATCTGGCTGATGATGATGATGGTAACTGGGTGCATGCAACTAAGAGAAGAAAGGAAGTTCTCTTAGAAGACTGTGTAAAGAAAAGTAAGCAGCTGAAGGATGAAGGTGCAAGCTTGGCTGAAAATAGGAGGTACTACTGTTATATTTTTTTTCATTGACTGGACAGGTGCTAAATGGTATTTTAATCCCTTCTCTAAACACTAGGTAATTTGCTAGCAGCTGCATTAACAATTCTCATATTTGAAAAACGGATAACTTCTTTCATTCTACCTTTACTGTCTGGTACTAAGTTGTTTCATTTGGTGGTGTTGGCAGCTGTGAAATGGAAGTTATTCCATCTCATTTTTGTATGTTCATGTAACAAAAAAAATTATAGAAGGAGGAAGATGAGAAACTGGTTGGATCTGAAAGGGTAAATAAGATACAGTGAGATAAACCACCCTGTAAGTTATGCTTTAGCTACTGTGGTAGCTTTCTTATCTCTTATAAATTTATCTTTCCTCTTATCAAGAGTAAGCTTACTTGCATGTGTACAGGGCCTAGGCAAATACAGGAAAGCAGCTAATGCACTGTTAATCTGTCTGATACTTTTGGCAAGTTGGGTTCATGTAGCTGCTCTGGACATCATCTGATAGCAGTACTCAGTCTTGAGACTCTGGCAGTTCTGGAAGGATGTTGCAAAGATGGTTCTGTTGTCCTATTATGCTTCAAGCAGAAAGCACCCTTGGCATAGAGGGCAGTTAGAGGAGTAAAAAGGGACTGCAAATTACATACTAACTACATAGTTCGGCTAGATCTTCTGTGGAGGGGGACAAAACAGTCCAAGAATAGTCCCCTTAAAATGTTCAGAATGCTTGGCATATCAGTCCGTATCCTGACTTTACTTACGAGCATCTCTGCTTTATTAATCATCTCAGACCAGATAAACCATTGTTTTCCTGGTAGAAACAATTCCATAGTAAGTCAGTATGCACTCCCGTGCTGTTAAATCTTTTGTGTTAAGAAATTTCATCCTAAAGGGTTTCCTGAGCAACATGGAGGAGACAACAACTTAGAAGTTTAAAGCCGGCAAGTTTATATATGGTAATAAACATACAGTGATATAAAAAATAATAAATTAACAATGTCTTTGAGAAAAGGCTTGTGTTCAAATATCTAAATAAAATTTCCTCTCTTCACCGTTCACTCGAATGGTGATGCTGTTCAGGGAGGGGCACAGTGATTCAGTTCTGTACATCCTTTTGTGTTCCTGGGTTCTGTAATTCATGAATAAAATTTTGAAGCCTTTTAAATGTCACTTTAAATTAAACCACATTAAGCTAAAACAGTTTTAAGCATGCTGCCATTGTATCAATACCTTTAATGCAGCAGCTGCATACATTGTTTACATTAATACTAAATAGCTGAAAACACAGAATACACAAATTAAGAGTCTGTTAACATCTTTAACGCTGGAAACAAATCATACAGTAGTCCACAAAAAGGTAGGTCTGTTCTGTCCTTTTCAGGATATAGAGATTGTGTTTTTAAGCTTGAGAGAACAGAAGTACTTCTAAATATTTTCATTCTACATCTAATATGTACTTGCATATATTAAACAGAGATTGATTTTTATTTCTGTCCTATTTTCTGTTCTACATTTGCCTTCCTTGTATTTTGCATTGGATGTTGTATGTATTTTCTATGTGGATTTTGGTAAGGGGTTTTTTGATTTTTTTTTTTTGTTACTTTTTTGTGTATTATATAAAGTACAATAAATTTCTTGAACAGCAGCAAATAATCTGTCGTGTATGTGGTTTAGGGCAGGGAGATGCAGACTGCTATATATTTATTTTGAGCAGCAGTTAACTTTTGATGCTTTTAATATCTTAAGTTGGTCATAGAGATGGAATTAAAAAAATACAAAAGCTTAACCCATCCATAAGTAGCAACAAAAGGGTTTTATTGTGAATTTGGTGAGAATTGTATCTCATCAGAATTGCTTATGAGAGCTACTGAGAAACACTGAATGGCTTATAACAAGTATGAGAAACAAGTAACAAGAAATTAAAATGCATCTTTTGGGAGACTTGTCACACTCTTCCATGTTAACACTCTCATATCTGAGGCATTACAGAAGTTCTAACTTGAAATTCTAGTTTTCTTCAGTTACTCTAGCACACTCTGTACAGTTTGAGCAATAATGGTCGTATGGTGCTGTCAGGGTACATAACTTTCTCTTAAAAGTTTTACATGGATTAGAGTCTAAACTCGCAGTGGGAGGCTTTTATTATTTAAGCAGATAGAATTGCTGACATACTGTTACAGGGAACTTGAGGAAGCAGAATGAAAATGTTTATTTTCTCTGGTGGAAAGTGGTTGCTGTAATTGTGTTTCAGACTTGCATTTCTTGAATATACATTTGTACAACATAAGCAGACTCACATAAATAATTAAATACTTAATGTAGATTGTTTCCCAAAATATCAAAGCATAATAACAGCTAAAGAAAGATTTGAGTTAGGTTGTGTAGCATTTAGGTAAAAGGATATCAAAGGGTATCAAAGCCTGCCTGGACGATGTCCTGTACAACCTGTTCTAGGTGAACCTGCTTTAGCAAAAGGGTTGGACTGGATGATCTCCAGAGGTCCTTCCAGCCCTGGCCATCTGTGATCTCTTCTACTGAGGAAACTCAGAAGAAAGCAAAGACTGAGCGCTAGACGGTAACTAATGTGGTGTCTTAGTTGGTGTCACTTATGGAGTGAAGAGAAGAAGGGGATCCTGAAAGAAAACAGACCTGGGAAGAAGCAAGAGGCTAAATAAAGGAAGAACGGAAAGTAATAAATTCAGCTTCACTTCTTATGGAAAGAGACTCTGAGTTAATATGCATGGCAAAATTAATATAGAATCATAGAATCGCTTAGGTTGGAAAAGACCTTTAACATCATCACATCGCACAGTTAACCTAGCACTGCCAAGTCCACCACTAAACCAGAAGAGCAGGACAGAGTTCATCAGGAGACAAGTGAGAAATTTCACTATCCGAGATGAGTCTGCACAAACTCCCTAGGGCCAAGGAGGTGAGTGTCCTTGGACTCTTACCTGGGACCAACTAACAGGGGTGCAAAGCTGGTGATGAAAGATGAATTTTCTAAGTGGATCCACTACAACTTAGCTAGAATAGTGATTACTACCTTTATGCTTGGTTAGTCCATTGGCTTATTTTTTCTGGTAAGGGAAGGCAGTGATGGTGTTACACCCCCACAGTGGTTTTGTTAGTCTCTGTGTATGCAGGAAGTCTGTTTCTGATTGACTTGTGTTGTAAACTGAGTCTCGGTGTTCCTTGGGGGGAAGGAATAATGAGTGGGCTTCTTGAGAGTCACAGTGTGTATAGCCTGCTGTCTTTGCCCATTGACAGACTCAGGAGTGGCATGGGTGAATTGTTTTGGAGGTGGCAGCCCTCTGTGGGTTTTCAGCTTTTGGGGGAGCTGTTTGAGGAGTCTTTGTACCTGCTGTAATGTGTGTGCATGAGCCTCTTAAGCCGAGACCGAGACACACGTGGAAGAAAAATGGTGCTGAAGAGAACAGTTTCTGATCCATATTTTAGTCTCTTTGTAAGATGGGAAGAAAGATGTTGGGAAAACCAGAAACAGGTGTTGGACTGGGTTGATTATCCCAGCGGGTCTGTTATTGTGGATGATGTGGCTTAGGAAATTATGACCTAGAAACTTGATCAGTAGGCAGTTATGAAGATGAATTGCGAATGAGTGATCTCACTGTCAGAATAGAAAGAACAGGCAGATGTGTGGAAGAAGTGGTGCACTTGTGTGCTCTTGATGCGTGGGAAGGAGCAAATAAACATGTACAAACATACACACAGTCTTTTAGGGAACAGTATATTGTCTGTTGGTGAATAGAATGGAGAATATTCCAGAGAATAAATTGGTTTTGCTTATATGTAACTTAGAATGCTGGCATTTTATCCAACTTGAGACACCAGTATGGATGTTCCCTCATATATGGGAATTAAAAAAAAAAAAAAAAAAGAAAAAGAAAAACCAAACCCAACAACCATAATCCAGGTTAGATTTTCTGTGTTGATAGCTCTATATGGTTTTAAATCCAGCACAATCCAAAAGGATAAAAGTTCATGTGCTCAGCCTCAGTATTTTGATCACAGCAATTTGCAATTACAGTGTATTTTTACTGGTAGGTAGGTAGTCTTTGGCTGTGGACACAAGCTTAAAAATGAGTTTAGGTGAGACTAAACAATCAAGTATAGCATCCTCAAACACGGCATGTAGATGGCTAACAGCAAGGAGAAGAAAAAATTCTGTCAGACTTGTATCTTCAAAATAATTGAGGTACATATTCATATAGATGGCTTTGCAATCCCCCTGTGCTGTTTTCAAACTATAAACATTTTTGCAGCTGGTCCAGTAGGTGGAGATAGAGTTCTTCTCAGTGTACCCTGAAGATGTGCAAAAAAAATGCTCATCTAAATACTTAATTTTCTTTTGCGAATAGAGACTACTGGGTTTAAATTCTTACTGGTTTGCATTTAATTTTTCAATTTTGCTAAATAAAACTTAATACTGCTCTCTCTTCTGATTATATTTATTTATTATTCCATATTGCACTAAAAAAATCTCCATCTCTAAAGCAGGTGCTGGTTGGGAAGACCATGTTTTCAACTGGAACACTCTTACGTTTTGGCTGAGCTTATAGAGATTCACCTATGTTTAAATAGTGGTGTCACTTTGTCACTTGGTGTCACTTGATGTGTAAATTAGATAGATTAATAAAGTTTTACTCTTTCTTTCCCTTAGTTTTTACAGCAGCGAATTAAATAAAGACATGTCAAAGTGCTATGAGCAGACCGATAATAGGTCAATTTTTTTCATTAAACTGTTTACTGAATTAGGTTTTGTGAATTAGTTTAATTTTTTAATCTAATTTAAAAAAGAAATTGAACTTCTGTGAAGTGCTACTTATTCCACATTTTAGCAGTTGAGAATTTTTTCCCCCGTGATGCTAGTATGCCAGCATCACTTCAACATGTGTAGCTTGCAATTCCTTAGCTATATAAGCTGCAAGTGAGTTTGTCTTTCTCACTAGATGTAAGGTGTCAGTGTCAGATGATGAGGCACG